CCTCAGCTCTTCAGCTCAAGGCTAGCGCTCTACCACTTGAGCCACAGCGCCACTTCTGGCTTTTTTTCTTTTTGCTTATGTGGTGCTGAGAAATCGAACCCAGGGCCTTGAGCATGCAAGGCAAGCGCTCTACCACTGAGCCACCTTCCCAGCCCCGTATGCTACAATTTTTAAAGCTCTTTTAAGCATTTGTCCAAGGTTTGAAAGAATTCTTCACAGTGAGTAATAATGGTATAGATAGTGCCTTAAAACCGAAGGATTAGCTAGGCACTGGTGACTGACACTTAGCTACTTAGAAAGCTGAGATCAGAGGATCACTGTTCAAAGCCAGCCTGGGCAGGAAAAGTCTGTGATACCCTTATTTTTTCTGTCTTTCCTTTTTTTAAACCAGCCTTGCATCTCTGGGATAAAACCCACTTGATCACAATGTATGATTTTTTAAAAATTAGTTGCTGAATTCTGTTGGCTAGTGTTCTATTGAAGAGCTTTGCATCTGTGTTCATTAGAGAGATTGGTCTATAGTTCTCTTTTCTCAATCCCTACCTGGTTTTGGAATGTGTGTAATGCTGGCTTAGTAAAAGGTGTTTGGAATTGATCTTTCTGTTTGTAGTTCATGGAAAGTTTGAGGAGTACCAGTGTTAGTTCAATTTTAAAAGACATAGAATTCAGCCATGAATCCAATGGGACCTGGGCTTTTCCTTGTTAGAAGACTCCCGATTACTTGGAAAAGACATTTAAAACAATTTTTTTATTGTTATTACAAAGGTGATGTATCGAGCATTAAAGTTAGACAAGTCAGGTACTGAGTACATTTCTTTTTGGACAATGTCATGTCTTCCTTCTCTCCCAGTTTTTCCCTCCTGTCCCCACGCACAAGTTGTATATATCCTTTCAATAGTCTCTAGCGAGTACCGTGGCTGCATTTTTTTACCTTTTATCCCACCATTTCTGTGCTCCAGGACCCTCCCAAGGACAAATAAAAGAACAAAGAAGACAAAAAAAAACAGCAACAAAGAAAAAAATCTCTTTTTTCCATTTCCTGGAGTTCATGTCAATAAATATTAATTTGTTTGATCAGATACACATAGGCATTGCATCTTTTCTAAGATTCTCCTTCTTTGGTCTCACTGTGTGTGAATGCCCAGAGTCCTATATAATTTATACAGAGACTCTTATTTTCAATTAACTACCAAAAGCTGAAGTTCAGCTGTGGCTCAAATGGTAGAGTGTTAGCCTTGAGTTCAGGGACAGCCCAGGCCCTGAGGTCAAACTCCACAACTGGCAGAACAAAAACAAAAAGCAAAGACCTAGAAGGCCTTAATTGTTAAAAATAAAACTCATGCATGTTACTGTCATTCTTTTACAGGATGCAGATTCCTCTTATTTTAAAGTCTGGAAGAGAAAACATGATTAAAAGAAGTATTTGGAAGTTTGCAATTGGAGAACTACAGCTTATTTTACAGAAGATCAATATAAGACTAAATTAAGATTTTTTTTTTTGGACGTAGGATCTTACTTTGTACACCAAGCTAACCTCCAGTCCTGTCTCAGCCTCCTAAGTGCTGGGATTGTAGGCATGTGATTCCATGTTCAGCTTGATTTTAAATTTTGATACAACTTTAAACATACAATGAATAAAATATTGTCATGAATCTTGCAAAAACCTATTAATACTCGTTACATCCTTGAACAACAGAATATTTAATTATGCTTTCACATATAGGCTTAAACCTAAGTTATCAAAATATAACCAAGAATTATACTCATGTACTTAACATATATGTGTTGATGTGTGCTTCCAGAATAAAATAGCAGATTGAATGTTAGATACAATAGGAGTTTGTTTCTTACAGTTCTAGAAGGGAGGAAGTCCAAGATCAAGGCACCAACAGGATTGGGGTCTGGCCGGCTCATCTGTACCTCGAAGATACCTTGTTGCTGCGCCCTCCAGATGGGTGCACTCAGTCCTCTGTGGGGAAAGGAAGTGGGGAAGGGGCAAGAGGAAAACCTCCCATCTGAAGCCCCCTTTTAAGGATATCTAATCCCCATTCACCTCTCAAAGGCCATGCCTGTTACTACTGTGGCTTTGGGAATTAAATTGCAACATTACTTCCTGGAGGAACAGAAACCTTTAAACCATAGCAACAAAACTGTATTGCAAAGTTCACAAACAAGTGGCTGGGCATTGAGAAAATGTAAAGCTGCATTTAGGATATTTCTACCTCCAAGATACTTCTACTCTTTTAGAAGAGTGCACCGGTAGAAATAGTCATTTGAAGTACTAAGCAGAACTCACAGCAGCCATAACTTATTACATGTGGTATGTAATTTGCTCTGTTGGAATGCTTTAGTATTAGTTTACTTAAGGTGGGTGGTATTTTCTACTTTAATAGATGAAGATTATCCTAAGAATCCAATGTTCTCTGTCCTGTTATTAAAGCCAAGAGAGGTCTGTCTACAGGGTAAATGGATGAGGCACTGATCTTGGATTTCAAGCTCCAAAACTATGAGCTTAAAGAGTGTTCTTTTCTTTATACAGCACCAGCCACAGGTATTTTGTAGCAACAATGGAAAGTACACTTAATACATACCTATAAGTGGAATTGTGGAATGTTTTTTAACAATACTATTGTAGCACTTTTGAGGAACCTTCATACTGTTTTTCAAAATTTCTATAAACAATTTTAGAAGCAACTGGTGTACTTGATTTATTTTCATTCTTTATGTCATTATTTCTTGTACTCATCTGTATTATTTCTTTCACTATCTTTGAAAGTATCTTTCACATCCATCCCAGGGGACCATGCGGAGGCAGGCAGGCACAGGAGAAAGATTAGTACAAGGTTTATTAGAGGAGTCATATTTCCCCCAAGAGGGAGCTCATGGCACCCTTCACTATCCAGGTAACAGGAAGGTCTGGGGGCAGGAAGTGAGGTAGGTAGGAGCTCAGGTGGGTCTGGGTGGAGAGAGGAAGTGGCCAGCTATAGGGCGGGAACTCCAGGTCTGGGAGGAGCTCAGGTCTGTGTGGAGCTGAGGACCAAAGATGGGCATAATGCTTACATTCCCCCCTTTGTTGTTGAACAAAAATAGGGGTACCAGGTGTGAGTGGGGGGGTATGGTGGGAGTGGGGGGGTATGGGCAGAGGTCATTTCATCTGGAGCCACTTCCTGCTATAAAGGGACAAAGTAGTCAGGGGTTCCTGCTTTGTTGCTCGGCTGGGTTCTGTCTAAACAGCATCTGCTTGACAGTTTGGTTGGTAAAGGTCCTCCTTTTTCCTTGACAGTAGATATCTAAAATGCAAGACACAATTAATAAAAGGCAAAATTGCTGTCAGTAGCCCAAGAGAGGAATAAGCCATGGAAGGATTGATTCTCAGAAGACCTAAAATTGGCTTTTCTGTTTTGGATTGGTACCTGACTCCTGGCATTCTGAGTAAGATTTTTCCCACTTTAGGATCACAGTAACCCTGAGGAGGAGGTAGCAGAGATGTTTAAAGGTACCAGAGCCATGGACTCTTTTGGCTACTTCCTGCTGGCCTGGGGACATCAAGGAATCCCTGGAGCTGAGGTCTTTAGGGTCCGGGTCTGCGCTGGGCAAGGCAGGGCAGTGTAAGTAATGTCCTTGGTTGCCTGTAGGAACAGGATGGCCTTGACTTGTTCCCAGGTGGTGTCCTGGGTGGGGGATGTTAACCTGTTAAAAGAGACTTTTGGAAAGGTCAGGCAAGAAGCTGACAAGGTGATAAGGTCAGTTAACATGAATGACATAGAAGAACACACCTTGGCCATGGGCCAGGAAAGTTCCATTTGGAGCATAAGCCCAGTTGTGGCCCAGTACAGGGAAGGAGGAATAACTGGACTCAGGGCAGGAAGGGGGTGTCTAGGGTCTTTTGGCAACTGGGTAGGGGAGAGCATAATGGACTGGTTGGGAGTACCAGTCAGAGAATACTGTAAGTACAAATAGCAGGTAACAAAGGCAAGGTAGCTTTCTGTCCAGTTAGAAGATAGACAGGTATGGACAGTAGGTGGGCAAGCAACTATTTCTCTTGATCTCCTGACTCTCATTAATTTTGAAAGGGTGACTCCATTTAAGATGTTATCTCCTCATACCCCCCTCCGCAGTTTTCCAATGTCAGGACTGACTTTGTCCTGGTGTGTGTGTGTATGTGTGTGTGTGTGTGTGTGTGTGTGTGTGTGTGTGTGTCAGTGTCCATTGCGGGATTTGTCCTGGGGTGTGTGTGTGTGTGTGTGTCAGTGTCCATTGCTGGGATAGCTTGTCCCAGTTGGCATTTACCATGTTTGGATTCAAGGCCTGGGCACTGTCCCTGAGCACTTCTGCTCAAGCCTAGTGCTCTATCACTTAGAGTCACAATGCCTCTTTCAGTCTTCAGCTGGATATTTAAGAGGTGAAAGTTTGGATGCCTCCAGCCTGGCTCTTTGCTGACTAGTGGAGAAATGGAGTTTTAGAGGGAGTCTTTGTGCCCTGGATGGCTTTGAACTGTGGCAAAAGGAGTCTTTGTCACAAAAGCCCTTTTTATTTCCAGTTAAAGCAACAAGAGGGTCAATGGAGATAGAAGTTATCTATAACTTGTTAACAATTGACTAACAATTATTTGCCAGAGTTTTGTAATAACAAAACCCAGTAGATGTTTTTAAATTGCAGCTGATTGGCACTCTAAGTACTGCCCATTGTCTCTGGGCAGCCTATTTAAAGTGGCTTCTATACAACATTTAACTTTTAACAAATGTAGAGACCTTTTCTTGGGCTATAGCAACATAACCTGTTTAACACTCTGGTTTGTAAAAGCATTTTTCTGTCTGGCTAAGGAACCTGATCTCTAGTGGCCCTAACAATGCCTACCTGTGTAGGCCTTTAGACAGATCTCAATAGGGACATAATTTCAGGTCTACAAACTTTCTTTCCTTAGCAGATGAATTTATGTGGCTGTGCCAGCTCAAAAGTCACTGCCAATTAGGACTTTGAGCAGGTACAGGGGGGTTGAGATTTAAATTATCCCTCACATTTTACAACCTTAGCTTTTACTACCCACTACCACAGATGACTGGCAAGTTCCTGCCCAGTTGGACATATACGGGCATAATTACACGCTTACAAACTATCGTGCCATGACCTCTTGGCTCTGATCAACTTTTGAAGGTCCACACTCACGTGACTCCAGGATCTGACACCATTTTTTGCTATCCAAGCAGTTGCTTGTAACTGCCTCTGCTTGTTCCAACATTGCCAGGGTCCCTGGAGTGCCTTTTCCCATGCTGGAATAAATGCACCCTTGGCATTTTTCTTGGTCAGTTGCTGGACTTGAGCTCAGGGTTTGAGCACTGTCCTTCAGCTCAAGGCTAGCTCTCTGCCACTGAGCTCCAAAGCAACTCTGCTTTTTGCACACTCTGTTGGAAGATTAGAGATGACAATCTCACAGGGTATCTCTGCCCAGGCTGGCTTTGAACTACAGTTCTCAGATAATGAGTTTTTACAAACAGCCACTTCAATCAAAAGTAACAAAGATGGTCATTGGAAGTAGTTTTATAAACATGGTCTTACCTGGAACTTACTAAGGGCCAAAGTTAATCGGACAAACTTGTCCTCGGTCCTTTACTGTGGGCCTGCTGGAAACTTACAAAAAACCTATAATGGCAAACTGGAATAAACATTTTGGTACTCCTAATTTATGTTTGTTTTTTTTTTTACTTTGAAATAAACACTAGGACAATTTTACCTTTTCAACTTTTGTCTGGGAGGCCAGCCATTCCCTACTACTTCTCCAAAATTTTTTTTTTTTTTTTACAAAGGAGACACCATTTTTAATCCCTTTTTCTAACATTACTTTAATTTGCATTTAAATGCCCCATTGAGACAGTGGGCAACACCCATTACCTCTTGGCCAAAGGTTTAAACTGGACACTTTTTTTCCTGCAGTCCGAGTTACCTTTAGGAAATTAGCAGTTTTTCTTAATGCACTAGCACTGTACCAAGAATCTAGACTTAGCATCTCTTTTCCTTTAGAAATACATCCAATTACAAAATAGCATAGAAGTTAACTTATATCCTTTGTTCATACACCTCTTATGGTCTAACTTGTGGGGATTAACATTACAGACACAAATATCTGAATTGGCTTTTTTTTCTTCTTCTTTTTACCCCAAATCAGCAGGCTTTGGTCATGTGTGATGGAGCAAGGCCAGGGGTCTGGGCAAGGCTGTGGCATTTCTCAGTGTGGATGGACTATGGCACCTCCCGCTAGTTTTCTGCAAAATTTCTACATATACTGGATAAAGACCTGTTTCACACTGGCTTTTGCAGGCTGGTGCCAATGGTTTAGGCAGCTGTGACAACTTTGTTCTGTTTTCTGGGCATTTCCCATGCACAGGAGGAAACTGCATCTTGAGTTACTCTGGTCCCTTGATCTTAAAGGGAGTTGAATGGCACACAGGGGAGAGAATGGAGAAACAAAACTTTAGCCTTAGTTTACCAGCCATGGTCAGAAGCACAATATTTAACTTTTAGCATAGATGGACCTAAGGATGACATAAATCACAGCCCACTTAATTACCAACTTCATCTACTTTGCAACGGAAACCATCTTGTTTTCTTTCCCAAGGCCCTTTAAAACTGCCTGTTTTTTCCGTTGGCTTGTAGTCAGGTCTCAAAATTC